AGGAGCACGATTTGATAATGGGAAAAAAAGGAGAGGAGAAAAAAAGAAAAAAGGAAAGAGGGAAGAGGAAAAGAAAGTATGAGCCCCCCGTATGCAGTTCGACCGTTGGACCGTTGGACCGTTGGACCGTTGAACCGTTTGGGTTTCCGGGTTGGGTCGCCCGCCTGGGTTTGATCGCCCGCCCCGGGAGGGAAGTTCCCGCTTTGGGGAATTTGGGTTTGGGTTTGGGCGGGATGGAGTATGTGTCAACCGGCAGTTGCTGTATGTACGTAGTACAATTGTAGTACTACGTACCGTACCTACTATAGTACCTACTACGTACCTACTACGTAGTAGGTACTCCTTATGCATGCATGGAAGCATATTTCGTACGTACAGTAGTGCAGGACGGGATGTGGGCGGTGCCGGTGCGGTATAGGTTTTATGCAGGGACGGAAATCTAGCTTGTTTCTTGTGGAATTGAGTTTTCGATGAGATTTTGGGGGAAAAAAAAAAAAAAAGGGAGGGGGAGTGGGGCCGGGTTCGAGATGGGATGGGATAGGAAAAGTGGATGGGAAAGTAGATGTGGACGTGGACGTGGACGGGGACGGGAAGGTGAGAGTGAATGGAGGCGGCTCGGTGGGTGAGGGATGGTTGGTACGCGGCGAGCTGCTCGGAGGTGGTTGTGATGCGGTGGCTACGACTACGTACGGTACTTCGTCATTCCTCACGACGGATCCGTATACTACGTACCTACTACGTACCTACTGTAGCCTGCTTTGCAACGAGTCGGACGAGATTGGATCCGATCGGATGAACGAGCTCGAGGGGGCCAGGGCCAGGGCCAGGGCCAGGGCCAGGGGGCCGGGACCAGGGGGCCGGGGGGCCGGGGGCAGGGCCGGGGGCCGGGACCAGGGCCAGGGCCACGGCGCGGAAAAGGTCAAGGAGTTGATGCACCGTCCGTTCGTCGGAGGTCCATCCACGCGCTTGATTGGGACGAAGTCAAGGGGGGAGTCACGGCAGTCGAGGTGGGCGGAGTAGGCGGAGTGGAGGGGAGTGGGGGAGAGGTGAAGGGAGAGGGAGACGGAGAGGGGGAGGGGAAAACGAAAAGAGAAGGAGTCAACAGAGACAGACCGACATATCGATCAACACACATTACGACGAGGCGGGAATTCGGATGGGGTCCTGACGTGGTGGCTCTGGCCCGGGCTAAACTGGGCGGCCGGGCTATTATTACGACCGAGCCGATTCCCTGATCTGCCGCGGATAGACGAGGCGGGCGGAGTCGCGTGTGAGCTAGAGCGAGCGCGCACTATGTAATGCAATGCAATGCATGCATGGCAAGGCCGGGCAGGGCAGGGCGTTGCATGACATGAGAGCGTGGTCATGGTAGTATTTCGGGATACGGAGGCCAGCAGATGAGGGAGGGCGAAGAGGGAAATGACAAAAGAAGAAGAAGAAGAAGAAGAAGAAGAAGAAGAAGAAGAAGAAGACGAAGGGGGGTGGATGGAAATGGTTGTCGGGAACGCAGACACGCAAAACAGACCTGCATCGAGCGGACGACGAGGAGAAACGGACAAGAAGGGGCAGCAGCGACCAGCGGCGACACACGACACATGTATGTCGTTTCAGCCCTGTGGAAACCTCGGCCCAAAGAGGAATAGGAAGAAAGAAGGAGACGACGACCGACGCATGCCGACTATGCCTATTTCCGATTTAGCCTCCCACCGCTTCCCCACCGCTCTCCACTCTCCACTCTCACCCTTCTCCTTTTTTGCATGTGCAGCTTCACCCGTCCTCTTCACCTTCTAAATCAGGTAACCAGGCCTCTGCCGGTCCTGCTCCGCCCGCCCGTCTGCCCGTCTGCCCGT